AGGGGGCATCGCCGGGTTTGTCCATTCAATGTCCTCCATCTCATCCGCTCCTAAGTCGTCTCTCTGAGCATAACTCTGGAGTTGTGCCTGGACTGAGGAGACTTGTTCTTGCATATAGCCGAAGGCATTCCGGAGCAGGACTGCCTCAGCTTCTTGTCTTTCTTGCACCAAGGCTAGCGCATTGCCGGCCTTGATGACTTCCTGTTGCAGGCTGTGCTTCAGGTAGCGCTGCAATTCCGCAAAGAAGTCCTGTAGGGTGACTTCGTCGGTATCTTGCCAGGTGGGCTCACATCCGGGGATGTAGGACTGGAGCGCCGTCCTGGGCTTGTGGATCAACTGTGTCTGTCCCTCTTGGAATTCTAAAGCTGCCGGTTGCCATTCAATCTGAAGAGGCGCTTGGGGAGCCGGGAGGGCGGACATGTTGTGAGAGGAAAGAATAATCTGAAGGTGATTTGAGCACTAAAGATTATCTGTAACGGGGGCAGCCTATCTATGTATCGCTAGAATCCAATAGAATAGATGCGGCCGTGCAAGATAGAAATCAGGTGCAGATTTATTCAAAGATACTATCGCTAGAACTCAATAATCTTTAAGGGCTCTGCTACCGATAATAGTCTACCCGAAGATGAGGATCAGGTCCGTTGGGCGGGAATGATCCTGAGTACTTATACTCCAAAGGATTCTATTCTCTGCTCCTACTTCCTTACTAAGTTCCGGTGCTGCCTCCTAGTGGAAGGGAAGCAATACCATCGCTACCCCGCTTCTCTCTAAGCGTCAGCGAGTGCTTCCGATTCCGAAGGCAACCACCCTTAGTCAAAGCCTTTGTAACACCCGCAGCCTTTGTTGCCACACAACTAGGGGCCTGCATGAATGAGCTGCCGCTCAGGTGTAAGCTTAATCATTGCTGTAGAGCTTCCGCTTATTGTAGACTTCCCAGGCATAGTCTCTTCCACTGGCGGACTTCCAATGCTCAGAGGATTTGGAGGATCGCTGAGCACTCAGAGCTTCACTCTGGCTAGCCTTCTAATCATTGGCGAGGCACAGACTCGTCAGTCATTGCTCCCATGAGTAGATCCTCTTCCTAGCGCTCAGAATGTAGTTACTCTGACAGTTGGTAGCTAACCACACTGCCGGTACTTGCATGTCACTGTGCAACTGGCTTCTAACAATAACTCTCAGCATGTAACCGGGCCCCGTGTGTACTCATACACCAGACAGTTGAAATGGCTCCGTTACATGTATGAAGTATAATTGAGTTAACCGAATGTGGCGAGTGTTGTGCGGTTTTTATTTGGCAAAACCCGGGCTCATAACCTGAAGTTCGTAGTGTGGGAGAAAATGACTTGAGTGTGGTTTGAACACGTGACCTTGAGGGAGGATGTGTTTGTAGTGCGAAGAAGATACTATTGCGCCGCTGAAGTTCCAGCGACAATGTGGGCGTTTGAGCGCTCTATATATACAGATATTCTAATACCACGTGATCACCTGATTACATAATCTCTGATACTAAGCCTTGTCTGAAACCCTGTTCCTTCTATGAGTCATCCCTTATACATGAGTAATTCCATACATAACCGATGTCGCAATGCCCTATTTCTACAGGTATATGTCACCAAAACTTTTGAGCACCCCGACTGAGGAATAGAGCGGTGATGAACCTCTAATTCCGCGTATCTATCTGCATCTCTGAAGAGGTATGTGCGATTGAGGGATGCGGAGCAGCTGACTCAGTCCGTCATAGAGACTAAAGGGCCTAACGATACCAGTCCTATAACTGATTAGAGCCGTAAACGATCACGCCCACTGCTATGTGTTTGGCGGGCGCCCGAATTAGGAGCTTCTTTAGATATATTCGACCTGGCTTGAGGTTTCTCCGGGATTCCTCTCCGGAGTTTTGGAGCTTTTCAGGCATCTCATATTTGGCGGAATAAGCCATGTGTTCCGGAAATGGGGAGGGTCCAGGAATCGGCCCTAACATACGTATCCAGGAGATATCTGTGAGTTATTTTACGGTAATTATATAAATAGTCACAACAAAGAGCGCGTTTGACAGAAATACCTTGCCAATAACTTCACTTACTAATTTTGACCTCACCAGGGTAAGTAAATGACCCCTCCCCTCCGGTTCATCCCTTATGTAATTATTGTACTCATGGCGGCGTCTGCTGAGTCCAATTCCAGTTTCACTCGTTCATCCGAAGCCCATTCGGGCTGTAGTCCTGCCCCCCGGGCCCGCCCTATATGCGTTGGTAATTGGAAGTGATAGCCCTGTCAGACCACCTAGAAATTCATATGGGGACCTATAAAAGCAGCGGGTTATAGAGGGAGACTGAGGAAAGAAGGCTTTATCGCTGACCGCTTGGACTCGCAAGTGATAAAGTGAAAACTGTCTATATTGCATGTTCCAGGCAAATTGCGGAATACAGCGGAAAAGTGTGGTGGAAGGGACAAAAAGGACGGGCAGCGAAAATCGATAAAGTCAATATACAAGCAATGGGAAGAATCGGAGGACACTTTAAATCAGCCCCCATAGCCGCGATAGAGGTGGAAAATGACATGATACCCACAGAACATAGATTCAACCACAAAGAACGAATGCAGGCAATAAAAGGACTAAAGCGCGCACCAAACCACCCTACCTACAAGGCGGTCAAAAACGAGATCAGCGAACTCATCGAAGAAGAAGACACATGGCGTGCAGGGAGAAGAAGGGGGCGAGGGAGGAGACGGGGAATGAAAGGAGCACTGAAAAATCTGGCAAAAATAGTAGGAAAGACTGGAAGAAAATTGAAAACTGGAAAAGCTACTATGAAAAGGAAAGAACATGGAAAAAAAAGGCGAGGAAAGAGATTGAGATAGATATCAGACCATATGATGAAAAGGGAATAGAAAAAAAGAGGCAGGAGAAAAGAAGAGAACAGGAAAGAGAGATCCTCATGTATAGCGATGGGAGCAAGACAAAAGAATACGTAGCAGCGGGAATATGCAGGATAGGAAACGACGGAGGAGTACTGAGGAAGATCGGCTACAGACTGGGTAAAAAGATGGAAATTATGGACGCGGAAATGGTGGGGATCAAGAAAGCCATCGAAGTCGGACTGAAAGAGGCAGCAAAGGAAAGGAAAAAGACGATTACGATCAGATGCGACAGCCAGGAGGCGATGAGACGAGTAAAACGCAGACATCAGACATCTGGGGAAATGATGGCCCACAAGATACGCTACTGGTACGATGCGGGAAAGACACAAAAGATCCGAATAAGATTAGAATGGGTCAAGGGACACAGCAAGATAAAAGGAAATTTGGAAGCAGACAAAGCAGCCAAAGAGGCCATCAACAAAGGAAGAGTCGACAATGAATGGTTCGTTTCTTTTGCGTTCTTAGAGAGAGAATCCCGAGAGGAAACAATAAGAGAATGGGAGGTGGAGTGGGAGCCAAGAGCGAACAAGGAAAAGGTAGTATTCAAACCATCGCAGCGAAATACCATTAAATTTGACGACACGGACCGGACAGATAGAGTCATCATCAGCCGACTCAGGACAGGCCATATAGCAATCAACAGATACCTAAAAAGAATAGGAAAGATCGAAAGCGCCGAATGCGAATGCGGCAAAGGGGAGCAAAGTGTGACCCACATACTCACTGAATGCGATTCAACGGCCGAAACCCGCAAAACTTTTAAAGAGCATAATACGGTTGTCAAACACCTTTGGAAGGCAAACGGTATCGAAGCAGCTATAAAAATTTGGAAGCAATTTGTCAAATGGAGATGGGAGAGGAACGGACAAAACGAGAATGGAGAAGAGGAAAGAAGGGAACTAGGGTACGGGTGGGGGACGCTGAAAGATGCGGGAAACGAAGAATAGAATAAGAAAAGGGCTTTGTGGGCGTTATTTTTCTATGTCAGAAATATGTGAGAGGAGGTGGAGGAGAAGGGATAGTTCAGGGGTATTGCCATAACTGTAAAGTTGCATGCAATTAATGAATTAAACAAAAAAAAGAAAACAAGTGAAAACTGCTCTTACATGTTAGCGAGTGATATTCTATGATTAAAAGTGAATACCACCATCTCTCGCACTTATCCCCAATTCAACTAGACTCGGTTATCCTTTTTTAATCTTTGTGTAAGAAGCGGACTGATCATGTTCTTGGGTGGAACGTCGCGAACTTAATCTCTCAATCCTTTGACCATGGGATCCTGATTGGCAGGTCTTCCCACTCGTAAAGGCCGGGGTAGAAGTAACATTGCACCGCGTTACTTCCGCGGTAAGGACTTAGCTTGGCAGGTATCACCGTAAATTCGAGGTATTAGGCCCGTGAAGGCCTACCCGAGGCCTCGACAGACAGCTCAAATGAGCAGTGAAATTTAGAATTGGGGAGTTCGTGCCATATACAGGATGGATGACGGGGTATCGCAAGGTACCTTGACACCGGTACTAGTAGTCGGTGGGTGTAGTAAGATTCATCATTATTGACCACGAATATAATATTCCATTACTAGATCGTCTTCTCACCGAGAAGTCAAATAACGAGCGGGCTTGGATGTCGAAACGGTCGCCCTGAACGGAGGGATACTATGTAACAGCCGTTGATACCGTGCGGGGCCTGAAGCAAACAAGCGGACAAATCTCGTTCATTCACAAGTGGAGAAACCAAAAGGCTTATGACCGGAGACTAGTCCTATTCCTTGAAATTTCCGGAGGCTATTCGAGATATCCTTATTGTTTCTTGGGTTTTGGGTTGGCCATATATACCTACCTCTTAAGATATAGCATGATAACAGAGACTGGTCCAGGAAGTTTGCACAGGAGATATATTATGATTGAATCAAATTTGTTTGATGTTGAATACTATGCTATAGCGCGTACCAAGGTAATTATCTGGCAAGACCCCGACGTATACTTTAGACCTATCCGATCGAGTCCAGAGCCCAAGCTTGTCCGTTAGATTAAATAGCATGCTCCGGAGAGAAAAAAAATAAATTTCTCTAAACCACGCAATTACACCAATGACGATACCGAATAATGCCCCAAAATATCATCAACTGCAGTCCAGTTGGCCATGAGGCTTCGGATATACACCGTTTCCCCCAGAGATTCCGGACGATATGGCAGTATATCCGCTACTCCACCAGCATCATACGCTACTCCACCAGCATCATACGCCTGCGTCATCAATTCTACCGTAGCATCCATGCCCCTCATGTTCTTGGGATTAGCCCTCACAGCAGCAACGCAATCCACGAAGTTGGCGAGATAGTAACACCGTATCGGCAGACCCGTCTTAACCCTCACCGTCCGGAATAGTACACCTCCTTTCCCGGTGCTCTCCACTTCTACCGTAGCGTTTCCTGACATGTGGCCGCCGGGCCTGTCTCCAGTACTCCCTCCATCATATCGTTTGAGGCGAGGTTGAGGCGGATGAGGTGTGTCCGCGCGATCAAGAGTCGATGTTCCGCAGGGTTTTACAAAAACGAGTATTTACTTTCGAGTACACGGTATCGGGTTGTCGATCGAGAGTTGAGGCGGATCGAGAGCTGCGATGGGAAGAGGTCTAGGCACTATAGATCTAGCGAGACGGGGACAGCAGCCAAGATTAAGGAGCAGTTAAAGCACGCAGCCGTACACCTATCATCGTAAAGGTATCCGGATCCAAAGCTCAACATCCGCTATCGATGAAATCACTCGTGATTCACACGGTCAGTGGGAGGGGGAAAAAGAAGAGGGGGGGGTAAGGGTGGAGACCATCGCATCCTCAATGCGACATGCGGGGAAATCCACAAAATGGTGCTGACACAAAACCCCACCTCTACCCCGAACCTCTGGCTCAGCTGGGAGGGGAGATTGCTGGCCTTGAGGATGAAAAGTCGGAACCTTCTAAGTTTAACGATATCACGCACGCGTCGCGTCAAGAACCGTTCACCAGCCTGGCACTCTAATTAATCCGAATCTCCGCGGTAGAATCCGTCCATCGACACGGTGTTGTAGCTAATAGGGATCAGGAGGATGAGTGTCTGGGCCTCCTGCCATGGTATCTGGTCTGGATAGGTAAATTCTCGAGAACGGCGACCGGATGTGAATTATCAAGGCAGGTAGGCCAATTGGGGATGCGAGACGGCGGGATGTGACGATGGAGATTCGAACGACTAGGGCCGAGCGAGTTGAGACTCCTTGCAACGTGGGATGAGGCTCAAAGCTCAAGTGAGATGAGGCTCTTTAACTCAATACCTTGCAAGCTGTAATTCGTATGTAAGCTAAGCTATATTTGTCATCCTACGGTGGTTAGGGGTTGGATTCCTTCCTGTGCAACCCATGCTAGAGTAGAAGGCGATATCTATGAAGGGGAAAGACGGAGATGGACCTCAACAATGCCTAAATGTTAGGAGACCTTAGTAGTCCCCCAACACCATTTCTATGCATCATACAACACAATTGCGCTGGGAGCAATAGTGTCTTCATCTCCCTCTTCTCCTCCCTCACAGTCTCGAAGGCCCACGTCATCGCGATTCAAGAACCCCCCTTATTCAAAGGAAAGCCCCTCAACGCTCCCTCATTCACACTATACTCCCCCTCCCCATCCAATGCAGAAGACAAGATATCCACCTGCACCTACGTCTCCAATCACCTCCTCGAACGCAATTCAGCAACAGCAACTCCCTCCCACAGAGGAGACCTCATCTCAATCAACCTCTTCCTACCAACCTCCCCAAACTCCCACTCCACCTTCACGATAACCAATATCTATAACAGACAGTTATCCAACTCCTCGAGATCGATCAGTCCGACCGAAATCTTCTCCCATACCCCCAACCCCCTCGTCGTAATGGGGGACTTCAACATCCACTCCCCTGCAGCAGACCCCATGAGGAACTTCTCCGACGGTGAACTTCGCCTCTCAGGACCATACACCCACTCCGCCACAACCAACAACTTCTCACTTCTAAACTACCCAGGCACCTACACCCGCTACTCCCCGGACCCCCGGAAAAGGCACGGAGTAATCGACCTCACCTTCGCTAATGCAAGAGCCCTCTCCCTATTCAACAAATGGCAACCCCTCCCCGAGGCCACCGGCTCCGACCACAGGGCCATCGCCATTACCTTCGCCCTCCCCAACACTGACTTCACACCCATCATTGGCCCCAACTGGAAACTCACAGACTGGCCAAGCCTCCAACCTGCCCTCCAGAACTTCACAGTCGCCAGCCCCAACCCTTCGACAAGCCTCGACGCTTGGTTCGAACAATCGCTGCAAAAACTCACAGACACCCTAAAAGACCACACCCCCTCCAAAACAATCACCAAATGGTCGAAACCATGGTGGAACCCCAATATAACCCAACTCCGCACAATCTATCACTCCGTCCACCGCGACTTCAGGAGGGGCCTCAGTCCTCCTTTCGAAGTCAAAGCGGCGAAGAATGCCTACTTCAATGCAATCAAAAACGCAAAACGCACTCACTGGAACTCCTTCGTGTCCAATGCAGCCACCAGCGATGTCTGGAAACTTAAAAGGATGGCAACTAGAACAGAAGACAGAGTCCCATCACTCCCCAACTCCCCCACCCCCGCACTACTAAAACAGAATCTCGTCAAAGCATTTTTCCCACCCAGACCAGATACTGGCTCTCCCCCCCCCCTCAACTTCGCTCACGTCCCGGAGATCACCCCCGAGGAAGTAAGAACCACCCTCCTCCCCACCTCCAAACTCTCAGCCCCGGGCCCAGACACCATCCCCTATTCAGTATGGAAAGGGGTCCATAAAGCCAACCCACATATCATCTCAGCGCTCCTAAACCCGCTCCTAAAAAGCGGCTACCACCCCCTCTCTCTCAAAAGGGCAAACGGAGTTATTCTAGCGAAACCGAACAAAGCCGACTACACCCTCCCCACCTCCTACAGAATAATTGTCCTCCTCCAAACCTTCTCCAAAATACTCGAGAAGATCGTTACCCTTCGCCTCGCGTCTATCGCCAAAGCGGTAGGCCTCATCCACCCCCAGCAATGCGGATCAGTAGCCGGCCTGTCTACAGCAGATGCGGTCACTACCCTCCTCCATGAGACCAAAGCCATGCAACACGCCAAGCTAAAAGTCTCCACCCTATTCCTCGATATCAAGGGAGGCTTCGATAACGTCGTCAAACACACCCTTGCATCTACCCTCGCGGCCAAAGCTACCCCCCCATACATCATCAACTGGGTCTTGTCATTCCTCTCCGACAGACATATCACCCTCCTCTTCAAAGGTTCCCCAAGAATCCCAACCCCGGTCCAGGTCGGCGTCTCCCAAGGCTCCCCCATATCGCCCCTCCTCTTCGTCATATACATGAACATCCTCCACCTACACGACCCCTCCCCAGGACTTACTCTATCCTACGTCGATGACTTTGCAGTAACCGTAGGCTCCCCCAGCTACCAACAAAACATCCACATACTCGAGGAACACTTCAAGGCGATCACAGCCATCACGGCCGCCCAGAACACCACCTTCTCAATCCCCAAAACCGAACTCATGCATTGGCGAACCCCCAAAGATAAGGCGCCAACCTGCACTCTCCCCATCACCCTCGATAACCAGATCTTCCACCCAGGCCATCAAGTCAGATGGGTCGGATTCTGGCTATCCCCAAACTTCAACCCAAACACCCATTTCATCCGACGCCTAGCCTCCGCCCAAGACAGCTTCGGGATCCTCCGGAGATTCTCCTCCCCCGGCAAAGGCCTCTCCTCATCCAACTGTAGGAAAATCGCCCTACTTGCAATTCGCCCAATGCTCACATACGGCGCATCCGTCCTAACACCCACCAGCTCCATCAAGGCAATGAACAAATTCTGGAATTCAGTCCTCAGATGGGCTACCGGCTGCTTCAGGGCAACCAACCAACGCGTCCTCTGGGCCGAGGCACACTGCCCCCCGCTTATCAACTACATCCACTACTTGAAAACAAAGTTCGCCATTCGCGTCCTACTCGCCCACCTCCTCAACAACCCAGTGACAGGGCGCTGCCACCCCACCTTCCCCACCCTGACCCCCGACAGGGTCACCTCCCACACTTACCTCCTCCGTGGCCGCCCCAACCCACCCAAAAAGTGGAACTCAACAGCAACGAAAGGCGTGGCCCACCTCCCCATCGAACATCTCTGCTCCCTACTCCAACACCCAGTCACAAGAGGAACAGACCACAAGCTCCTCCCAAAGCTAGCAGAACAACAAATGCTAGACAATTGGGCACACGACTTCCCAACACCCCCCTACTACACCTTCCCCCTTACCTCAAGCCCTGAACCCTTCATGGACTTACACAAATTCACGGCTACTCGAATCCATCAAATGAGAGCCCAAAAAAGCTACCTCAGAGGCCACAAATCTTGGCTCAACCTCCACCTCTCCGAAAAGTGTGACAGATGTGGCGAAGCCCCTGAAACCACCGAACACGCCATCCTCCTCTGCCGAGCGAAAGCAATCCAACGCGCCCAACTTCTCCCAGGAATCAAAACCCTCGAGAAGATCTGGAGTGACCACACCAACACGCTAGCTCTAGGAGCCTTCATCACCGCCACCAAAACGAACTTCCCTAGAAAGGAACACATCTCCCCCCTCCTATCCGGATCTGAGACATCAAGTGCCCTCAGCTCACCTCCCTCCACCGCCTAGCCACCGCAGACCCGCGTCCAATCCACGGACCCCCACACCCACAAAGACCCTCAAAGGGCAACAGGTTATTTGAAACCAGCAGGATTTCCTTTCGTGTCGGACATGGACCGCCAGAATCTGTCGTTTTCCTTGCAGTTAGTTAGATAGTCAGTATGTCAGCGCAGTAACTCATCTCATATTTTTCCTTTGTTTCTTCTAGGGTTGTGATATTTGGGTTTTCCAGTAGGGGAGAGGTATTTTTATGCCATAGTCTAAGACTGCATGCAGAGTTTTGTACCTAGAATCAATTAAAACTACATGAATTAAAAAAAAAAAAAAAAAATCTATGAAGGGGAAAAAGGACAGGTAAAACAAAGCGCAACCTCACTACCTAATTCTCTCTCACGATCTGACACACGGAAGAAACCTACATGTAGCTCTATCATTCGCTGTTATTAGGACCGGAGAAACTAAAAAAGCGATTTTTTCTGGTAATTATATTACTCATGTAGCGAAAACTTGCGGGTACTTACATAATCTGTCACAAAGATGTTTTTACGCGTTTATTCCCGCGATCTTGCGTGGGCAAGGGCGCATGCACTGACTTGAAAGCGCCAATTACACATGCGCTGTATATGTAGTTAAGATTTGAACTCTTGCACTCAAAACAACATAAACCTATGCTTGGGTCGGGGGCGCATAAATAACATTGCTTACATAACTGGTACTAGGCCCCTAATAACTTTTCTTTCTTGCGGGACCAGGGATATACATATAGACCATGTGCACCTGTGCCGAGCATGTACCTATGCCGAGCACCTTATAATAAAGGCAGCATTTTAGCCACCATTTGGAGTGGATCCCTAGAGATCAGATAAGATGCTCGGCACAGGTACATTCTTGGCACAGGTGCACACGGTCTACCTGTGTCGCGATGGCTTTGCCGAGTATCAAATTGTAAATTGATCAGCGAAAGCAAATGTTCCAAATCCAGGGTTTGAATCAGTTGTCACCGCGCCTCCTGTGGAGAGGTTGCTTAAACTGGAGTATCAGAGAGGTGTCCCGAACGAAAATTGAACCATACCTTCCACGTTGTTGAGGAGAGTACACTCCCTTGAAAGCGTCCACCATGAAATATCACTCGGTTTATGAGGTCTTGGTACTATGGAGATAGTTCCCGAAGTCCTACAACCCATCATGGCAAGGGGACTCCCACGACTGAATTCACCACAATCAGAGCGAACTTTTATACAAGATTGAGTAGGATAACCACATGTAAAGAAGATATATCAGGATTATTTGTGGTTGGTACTACTTTGTCTTGGAATAGTACGCTCGGCACATTTCATAGCATTGTAAGATTCTCATTCTTTCATTATAGTATTCGTCATCGGCACATGACTCACCCATGACTCACATTCCTATTAGTTATCTCATTACTCATATGTCCATAACTCATTGTATTTCTTTTGTACCACCTCTTATTAGTATAAATACAGGGCATTCCCCTTTAGCTAGAACAAAACAACACGATTAATTACTTTACATCTCCGATTTACTTTCTCTAGATTATGAAACCGGAGACCACTCATGCTTATATACTCTTCACCATTTTCACAATAAAGTGGACATTCTCATTTCACTTTCAATCATGTCTGAGAGGAGCATCAAAATTCCCGAAATCCCATTCAAGGTGGATGGTCAAGACCATTACACTGTATGAAGGTACCTTGCTACATGCATGTTGAGAGTTCACGATCTGTAGAACTTGGTCAATAGTTCGAGTAAGTATCCTGTTTTGACAACCACCACCACTACTGTACCTACCACAACACCACAAGCGACAAGTAATACTGCTAAAGCTCAAGAAAATGAAGAAGAAACCTCTGATAACGCCAAAGGAATCAGCGACTGGAACAAAAAGGACAATTTCGCGGTTGTATTCCTCCGATCTAAAATCGAATTTAAGTTATTCTCATGCTCACCCCAGCCGACACTGCTCACCATTTCTGGACTCAGTTTGAGGACAGATTTGATCGGAAAACCGCGACCTCCCTCCACTCGCCCCTCGCTAATGTCATTACTCTATAGTACACACCTGATAGGAGTATCAAGGAATATCTAACTCAGTTCAATACTCCTTGCTCATCTCTCCTTACTAGAACTAGTAACTCTATGGACAAGACTAAGGATCTACTCGGTTACTACTGTACCGGAGCCACTTCAACTGTGTGGTGTATGAGTACACACAGGACTTGTTTACAGAATGAGGATTATTCAAGTTGATAGAAGCCTGTTGCATAGTGATATGCAAGTATCAACAGTGTAGTTAGCTATCAGCTATCCGAGTAACTACATTCTGAGAACTAGGAGGAGGATCTATTCATGGGAGTAATGACTGACGAGTCTATGATTCGCCAAAGACTGGAGGCCAGCCAGACTGAAGCTCTGAGTGCTCGACGATCCTCTACATCCTCTGATCATTGTAAGCCCATCAGGAAATAGCAAGCACTATGCCTGGGAAGTCTACGATAAGCGAAGAGCTTTACAGCAACGATTAAGCTTACACTTGAGTGGAAGCTCATTCATGCAGGCTCCGGTTGTGCGACAACTAAAGCTGCAGGTATTACAAAGGATTTGACTTAGGGTAGTTCCCTTCAGAACTGGAAGCAGTGGCTAATGCTTAGAGAGAAGTGGGGTAGCAGTGGTATTGCTTCCCTTCCGACAGAAGGCATCACCGGAACTTAGTAAAAGAGTAGGAGGAGGGAATGGAATCCTTTGGAGTATAAGTACCTCAGCAAACTTAACAATTTCTGTAAAGTATCTCCTGAGTCTCCTGAGAATCAAAATCCGTTTTAATGGCTCTGGAGAGTCTCAGGAGACTCAGGAGACTGTTGGGAGACTCATGAATATGTACAATCTTGCTGATATAATCTGCACTTGATTTCTATATTGCACGGCCATATCTATTCTATTGAATTCTGGCGATACATAGAAAGAGTGTCCCCGTTACAACCATCTTCAAGTTCATCAAGTAGCATCTTTCTCAGAAGTGAAAGCATCCTTCCTACACCTCTCACTCCAGCACGAATCTCTCCAATCAGTCGTAGACAACATGGAAACCAAGCCCAACGTCAACTTCAATGATGTTTATGAAAAGCTATTGGGTCTGGACTCACGGGGCAACAATGATGGATACGCGACTGGTGAAGCCTATGCAATTAGGCGAAGAAACCTAGGGTATGGAAGCAAAAACAAAGTCAGGAAGCCACGTAATAACGAAAGAGAAAATCGGGATGTCACATGCACCTGGTGCGCCAAGAATGGAGAATATGCCAAAGGCCACATGAACAAAAATTGCCAGAAACTCAAAGCTTCCAGAGGCAAGGAGAAGTCCGGTGTATCTGGCAACCTCAATGTCGAGTCTAGTGCTGCATTTCATACAAAACTTGATCTCTATTGTATTCCCGATCTTTCTGGCCTTCCCGCACTAGAAGAAATTGTTTTATTCACAATGCTGGTCAACTTCGACCTCACCAACTTCTAAGATAACACCTCAGACACAACCATAGAAGACTACTTTGGCTTCATTGCAGGACCTTCTACTTATGATAACAAGGCATCATCAGCAAAAAACAGGTTTTGCCAGGATGAATTCAAGCGTCCAGATGTCCAAATTCGTCTTCCATACCCAAAACCTCATCTATTGCTCACAAAACCTTGTCCCGCTGCACCAAAATGTGAAACATTGTGTTTTGGCAACTAGTAAGCATAGAAAATGTGATAGATCGTCTTTTAACGTGTATTAGGCATCCGAAATATGACTTCTCATCTTTCAACGCCTAGTATGCATCCCAAATATGACATCTCCCCTCTTGACGCCCAACCGCCTCCCAAAACGTGATCCACCATGTGGAATCTGCCTAAGTCCTGTCGCTAGCCCTGACTCCGCAAGCAAATGATATCAGATTTGATATTTCGAGGATCCCATCTGCTTACCTACCTGCCTATCTGCCTCCCTTCCTCTCGACACCTACCTCAACACCTACCTCGACATCTACCTCCAACCTGCATCGATGCCTACTCTCTACCAGCAGAGACACCTACCTCTTACCTGCATTGATGTCCACCTACTACCAGCAATGATGCCTATCTCCTAACAGCAGTAATGCCTACCTCGCCACCTACCTCCTACCTGACGTGATGCCTGGATACATATTTACCTACCTCTAAATTTTGACGACTGTACTGACACTGTTACATACTGCTAAACGACACCAAATCGTCAGGTAATTGCATCAAATTAGCAGCAAATCGACGCCCAAAACGACACCAAAACGTCGACTAATTGCACCAAGTCGACACCTAAATCAGTATCAAATCTACGCTCAAATCTACGCTTAAAATTATGACTGACAGTGCACAAAATCAACGTCAATTGAGCTCCGAATAGCTAGCTAGATAAGCAAGCAGGTGCGCAGCCTGAGGTAAGCAGGTAACCAAGCAAGTGTGCAGCCTGAGGTAGCCAGGTAAGCAGGTAGGTGCGGGGGTAGACAGTCTGTCATGGAGGTAGGCAATCAGGCATGGGGGTAGGCAGGCGGTGCGGGGGTAGGCAGGCAGGTGCGGAGCAGGCAGGCAGGCAGGCGGGCAGGCAGGCAAGCAGGCATGAGAGTAGGTAGTCAGGCATGGAGGTGAGCAGTTGGGCGCAGAGGTAATCAGGTAGGCAGGTAGTCAGCGCACCCGGAGGTAAGTAGGACACTAGCAAATATCATTATGTACATAGGATTAGATAGACAGATAGACGAGTATATATTTGACAGTCGCGCGGAAATCATGTCCTAGTCGATGTACCTTCAAGTTTTGCCGAGTAATCTCATTCTGCCAGCAAAAACTGCTAGCGAAACCTGTTAACCGGGCTGGAGATACTAGTGTGCAGACGCCAGGAGGTGACTTTGCATCTAAACATGTCGCGATGATATCACTTGACAAAGGGATTCAAAGGTCTCGTCGTGGGGCACCCAGGTGTCGGTATGCAGTTAAAAAACCCCTTTGTGTCGTCTGCGGTGTCTGGGGCATCTGGGGTGCCCAGGCGTCACAAGATAAGCCTTCATTTTTTGCTAATGTAGCCAGAACAAAACAACGCGATCAATTACTTTACTTCTCCTATATACTTTCTCTACTTTGAACCCCCAATTTTTTTTTTGTGGGGGGGGTCCGGGAATTAGACATGGTGCAGGTTGTTTCTCGGGGTTCTCTAGGGTCTAGTTCAACTCGGTCATGAACTAAAACTAATGGTGAAGGATCGTGTGGTGACAAACTGATACTGTTCTGAGTGCATGATGATCTAGTCTTGACGGGGACTAATCGGCCGAGAATAAAGTACACTTCTAAGCTATGTCTATTCTTTCACCCTTATCCGCTACCTTTCCGATTATATCTGAGTCTCCTTTACTAGTATTATACTTATACCGTGACCATGGCTTGACTAGCGCCTTGCGTCACAACGGGTATATAAAAACAGTGTTTATATTTACACTGTTATGGAGCGGGGTATGGGGTTGGTTAGAATTAACATTGTCTAGATCTCCTATAACTCCAGGATGATAAAACAGGTATATGAGTCGCTCATCTCTCACCCGAAATGTTAGAAAAACACATACAAAATAACAATGTTTAGTCCGAAGGTATATATTTGGCTTAGCGAGCAAGGATATCCTCAAAAGATGATAGAAGAGATATGGCCTTATCATATTCTACAATCAATAGCCCCCTGGTATTAGTATTCTTTCATGTTTGGAACTGCGCGTGACAATATGGCGAAAGAAAAACGGGATATATTGCAATTACAGAGGATCCAAACCCCCGCATACTCCTCCAGGAAAGTAAAAGAAGCCTTTATATTTATCTCCTAAGCTCCTCATATAGTGATTGACTAGTAAGTTGTGCGTTGATGAAAGAATTGATTGAAGTCATTCCTTCATAGCTGCTAACGTACTAGTATCATGCAATCGCAAGATCATCGACACAGAGAGTATCGAGAAGTCAGAAAGCATATCAGAATTTCTAAATGTGCGAGCAAGGCTGTTGATAAAGATGGAGAGAATTAGTATTCGGTATATCTGTATCCCATGAACCGTTGCCGTAATATGTTTGTAATGTAAAATCGGAATTTTCACGGTTGCCGGCAACCATGTCACAGCCACCTTACAAATCCTCTATAGCAATCTCTATAGCAACCAGCCATGTCCTCTTCAAAAATTACTAGCAATACAACCATAAAGGGCAGAGCTTTGAGATCACGTAAGAATGATCTCAACTACCTATAGCTTAATTTGGGATTTTCTGGAGTCTCTTATGGTGATTCTAACCCCTTGTAATGGAGCCATTTCAACTGTCTGGTGTATGAGTACACACAGCGCCCGGTTACATGCTGAGAGTTATTGTTAAAAGCCAGTTGCCCAGTGACATGCAAGTACCGGCGGTGTGGTTAGCTACCAGCTGTCAGGGTAACTACATTCTGAGCATTAGGGAGAGTATCTATTCATGGGAGTAAGTAGAGAAAGTATGTAGGAGAAGTACAGTAATTGATCGTGTTAATTGTTCTAGCTAAGAGGGGAATGCCCCGTATTTATACCAATGAAAGGTAGTACAAAAGAAATACAATGAGTCATGGACGTGTGAGTAATAGAATGACTAATAGGAAAGTGAGTTATGCGCCGATGACAAATACTGCTATGAAATAATGAGAATCTTCCAATACTATGAAACGTGCCGAGCGCCCTATTTCAAGAGTAAGAACTGACGAGTCTATGCCTCGCTAATGACCAGAAGGCCAGCCAGAGTGAAGCTCTGAGTGCTCGGCAATCCTCTACATCCTCTGAGCATGATAAGTCCGCCGGTAGTGGCAGGGACCTTGCCTGAGAAGTCTACAATAAGTGAAGAACTCTACAACAACGTTTAAGCTTACACCTGAGCGGCAGCTCATTCATGTAGTTCCCGGTTGTGCGACAGCCAAGACTGCAGGTGTTACAAAGACTTTGACTAAGGGTGGTTGGCTTCGGAACCGGAAACATCCGCTAACGCTTAGAGAGAAGCGGGGTAGCGGTGGTATTGCTTCCCTTCCGCAAGAAGGTTCCACCGGAACTCAGTAAGGAAGTAGGAGCAGCGGAACGGAATCCTTTAGAGTATAAGTACTCAGGATCCTTCCCGCCCAACTCTCCGCTTCCTCAGTCTTCATCAGAGCTATTAAGTATTTTCTACTCGGTAGCTGAACCCTTAAAGATTATTGAGTTTCTAGCGATAAATCTTTGAATAATCTAAACCTGATTTCTATCTTGCACGGCCAAATCTTTCTATCGGATTCAAGCGATATGTGGAAAGTCTGTCCCCGTTACACACTTCAACGATTGACACCAAAACCTGCATTACGAGCCATCAACCACGTCCACTTGACCACCCCCCCAAGTCAAATATCTCCACAACTACAACAGATAAAGAGAATTGAACATTAGGAATCAATTTTCAGCATCCTAAAGTACCATCTAGAAAGTGCTCGAAAACTAAAGTCAACAATAAGACCTCAAAGACACCTATGCCAAAAATACCCGTCAGCAGTCACGGTCAATCACCTCCACCCACCCCCTACAAGCCAACCCCAAAGGAAACACCGCTATTTGATTCTTTGATACATCCGGTGCCACTAAATAAAGCACATAATACTCTACCTATGGACTTATGCCGCCTTGGTTCTGCACTCACTGCAAATCAAATATTCAATCTATTTTTTACTGATAAAATGATTGATTTAATGGTGGAGAATACAACCCTTTATGCTAAAAAGAAAATGGAGGAGAGTAATAGTGCGCAGGAAGGACGCAATGTAAGGTGGAAGAGGGTCACTGCCCAAGATATTCAGATATCGCTGGGTTTCAAGTTGACAATATATATGGGGTCTGTAGGAATCCCACCTGCCCATTATTGGAGAAGAGATGGTAAATACTTGAGTAGTACAGGCGCATAGGACAAGGCGGAACCCAGCCAATAGGATTACAATGACGGCCAATGCTAAGCCAATTGATCAAGCTCGTCCAAGTACAGGTGCGTTTCGCTTAAGTTCGGAATACACTTGGGTATTCCATATATCTTGTCAGACTATTGTTAAATTCAAGATTGAAATCGCCGTAGATTATTAGTGGGTGCAAGATTTGCCAGGCGACATTTCGTTAATACATGCAATACATATTATACATATCTACAGTCGCAAACCAACCCTTGAAATCAGACGAGAAAAGCTCTAGCCCTGACATGTAGCAATCCTACAGGGCCCGATGGGCAGGCGTCGAAAGGTATAATTAAGGCATGTGTAGACAGTGTACGTACATGTATGTTGCCACTCTTTGGTATATAAAAACGTCTCTAACCTAGTACCCCATACATATAATTATAAATCCTTCCAACAGGGATCAAAGAACCCGACCAGTCCTATGAGAAGGTTTACAGAGGAAGATCAAGAGCTAGCCAAATCATAACGGAACAGAGATGAGACTAATAATGGATATGAATTTAGTTAAGACACACCATGATTATTCCGCCCCGTACTATTACCGCACGGTACTTCATAGTACCTCGAAGATGGCTTTCTACTAAAACCTATCTAGGATTTCATACTTCATAGTCTATTCCAGGTACATTTCCAGCGTATTACGCCTCAATGAAGTACTAAATGTAGTTAAATTGAAAGAGTTAGGAATGGGTTTCGGTGATGCTGTGCATTATCGCTCATATAGTTAATCTTATAATAATGAGTAATGCGTTGGTTTCTCATGACTAGAGTACTATATTACCTCACTGGGATAGTTGGTCCGCCGAACATATATACTAGTGATCTGTAATTCAATCTTATACCCCCAGATTGAATTGAGGTTATGAAGCTTTGATAATGGTATATACACGTTTGATATGCCTTCGAATGAGCCTATTCGGGTGGAAAGTCTGAAAGGATAAGGTAGACAGAATTGATTAACAACTTTAAGTTTAATATCTTGCTCAACCCAGCTGGCCAGCAAACATCTACATAGCTGAGAAAAACAGTGTAGCAAATGTCCGGTGGCTCGCTTCCTAATCTCGGCCCGGGTCACTTGCCCATATTGAGCTGACACACAAAGCCACGTCTCTCATAATAACCAGCAATATGATTCCACATAAGCCACAGTTTCAGGGATACGTCTCCTGTTTAGGAATAGGGCTACCAAATGCCGAAAGACCGCGAAGTCAACAAGGCATGATTCTGCCAACATTGAGAGTTCAGACACCTTTCTGATTACACAAAGTGCCCGGTTGCACAGAGGGTCCGGTACTTGTTTGGGGGATAAGGCGTCGGCCATGGTTTGTGGGTATAGTACCGCCACCAGTTCATGAGAGACCCAATTCCGCTAGCTCGAGTTATTTCCATCTTACCACTGTCCACCAATTGAGGCCTCTCCAGGCTCCAGTAAGAATAGAAACAAGGAGGGACGATGAGCGTGAACATGAAACAATTATACCCATTGCTGCTCAGCTGGTGGTCGGAGAGCTTCAGAGCCAATAACTACACCGAAGCCATATATCTCAACGTTCGATTGTATGGAAACATAGAACTTAGATCTCGTGCCTGAAGGATAGATTCTGGTCATTCTAGTTCATTTATGCGCCTCCTTGATTAATTCATTGATTTTCTGATCATAAGGGCACTGGCAATCGGGTATTAGATGATTGTTCACTAAACGTCACTGTCACCTTGAAACCAAGCATGTACTGCCGTCCTCTATAGATCACCACAGATCACTATCATCACCACTGTCTCAGTAAGATTGGAAATGCAACCTCCTAAAGCCATTGCACAGCTCCCTGATAATGACGAGGCATATTTACAGATACATTGCCTATTTGGGAACTGAAAAGGTAAGTTAGCGGCTTGAAGATTGACATTCGTTGATCACTTGAACCACTCGGAAACCCCGCAGCTCTCAGCAGCTCTCAGAAGCTCTCCAAATCAGTCTCCTTGTACCAGAAGCCTTAGTTTCTCAGCCGAACTCTAGGAATAGAAGAGAATCCAGATCATCATATCGACTATAAGAACCCACCCATCTCCCCCGAACCAACAACCAAACACACACTTCACTTCATCAGTTAACACAATGACTTCAACACACAAAACCACACAAAGCCCTTTCAAACTCCCTTTATAACCTTCCAAAACAATCACAATGTCTGCTGCCACTGCCCCCGCTGCCGGTGATATCATCAGAATTCCCGCACACACCGCCGAGTGCGAGAAAGACAACCGCCGCATTGCCTGGAAGCAAACTATGATGGAAAGATCCGAGATGTACTACACCGTTCATGGCACCAACATCTCTAAGAACAACACCGATGTCATTCTTTTTGTTCAGGGCAACTGGTACAATTCTGGCGCTAGTCCTGCTGAGCATGTTTCAAAAATTGGCAAGGCCGTTGGTAAGAATATCCCTTATTCACGGATTATGATCATCAGATCGTATAGATCTGATTTACTAAACCTACGTCGAAACAGATGGTTCCTACGAAATCAAGCTCGATGCAAAGTTCCAATATGGTCAGAAGAACAAGGAGGGCGAAAACCGTTTCCTTGTCTACCACAACAAGGCCAACAAGCCTTACCAGGTATATCTATTTCCGAGAACTTCAGCAGTTTGAAGAACCTGGCTAACATTGGTACAGCACCGTTTCATGGCCACTCTCATTCAAGGTCAAGTCGCAGAATGGGCCAAAAAGCTCATCCCCGTCGCACAAGCCCAGGATGGCTTGGCGCTGATGACTTCCATCTTCGGTGACTACTTGCACACCTACTAAGATCTCAACGATGGCGCACAAACATGTTAGGGAGGTTAGTGGCAGAACGGCGAGATCATGATTTATGGTACAGAGGTTGAAGATGGTATATGTCTGTGGGGAAGACAGATTATGGGATCCCGGGAGATTTGTAAAACTGGTAGTTAGGAATCCGGAAGCTTGATTACCATATTTTGTTCCTCGAGATGACCTCGTGACCGAGTGATAACCTATGCTCCAATACCTCTTTCGTGTGCCTACTACAATGATCTTACTGATCTCGCTACTCCAGCATCAATTCATACTAGATTATCTTTTGCCTCTTGAAGCTGCCCATAAGTCTTGTTAATTATAATTCGATCTTAGTAAGGGGGGATGAAGGAAGGGAAGGTTTCCTCCGCTCAGATCAATTTATCAGGAAAGTCTCTCTTATCTTGATCTATATTTATGTATTGCCGGCAACATTAATGCAAGTATCTGTTGTAGAAAATCTCAAAGGACATAACCGTCCAATTTTCTCGTACTACCTTTTTTTTTTTTTCTTTTTGTTTAATTCATTAATTGCATGCAACTTTACAGTTATGGCAATATCACACTCCCCAGAACTACCCTACTGCCTCCACTACCTCTCGTCACGACAAAGGAAATACTAGAAATAGAAAGTAAAGTGTAGGAACTCGTCACTCTTCGTTCTCGTACCACTTGACCAGATAGGACACATAGATTTTCGGATAAATATCCTAACACGACAGGTATTCTAGGTGTTCCAGTATGCCAAGAGGAAGATAGACATATATAAATTTATAAACCCTCTCCATTGTATCGCAAAGAAAAAATCTTCTTACGCTCACGGTCCAACAGTCCAAGGTTACACACATTATAAATCGCTGAGTAAGCGTAAATACGTCTTTTTACTATTGTCACACAAGGCTGAAGAAACAGCACACAACATTCCACAAACCGCCGAGAATGCTAGGGTAGCTAAATTATAAAGCCAATCAATTCCTTACTGCTTGTTGATCTTTTACCCATTCATACAGTGGCTATATATATATTTCTCCTTAGAGGAGCGGGGTAAGCAGCAGCATCGACGACGGTTCATAGTATCTCAAGCTCCTCCAAAGCTCGCGCATTCAGTCAAACACGCAATGACTGATCCACTTTTGAGACCATTCGACAAGGAGCGGCTTCCCACAATCCGCCGTCATGGGTACTGGCGTCAACCTGTGCCCGGGAGTGAAGCCAACAACACGGAGCTCCAGTATGAAGATTGGAGGAATGAGAAGATCTTGGGGAGAGGAACATATGGCACTGTACGGCTGGTCAGGAGTGCTCAAGATGAGAAAAAGATGCGTGCAGTAAAGGAGGTTTTTAAGATCAACACACCAACCGCCCTCGCAAGCCGAGAGTTGCAGGCCTTGATTGCGCTCCAGAAGGTATGTATCTCATGAGAAAGTTGCTGTTTCTTGGCATATAACCTATATATTGGTGGTTTATATAGTGTCAACTAATGATATGTATTGTCATGTCTAGCACCCAGAACACTTCGTTAAGTTTTTTGGATGGTGGGAAGATGATGAGTGCTTCTATTTCGCCATGGAATACATTGAGAAAGGCGACTTGATGTCCCTCCTCAAAGACAATAAGCTCACAGAGATGGATGCACGGACCATTGCAAAGCAGATTTTGGAAGGTCTACAAACCATGCACCAAAATCACATCTGTCACCGCGATGTCAAGCCGGACGTGAGGCCATCCGTTGATAGAGCGAGATTTGTACTAAACTAACTGCCTTTCAGAATATCCTAGCCATATCATGGTTGCCTGGACCGCTCCGAGTAAAGTTAACTGATTTTGGTTGCGCCAAGTTCGGAGCTGGTACGGGGTTACGGACGACTATTGGCACTGTGGGTTATATGGCTCCGGAAGTTCTAGGTTATGACGATGATCAAGAGACATCTAATTACACATATGAAGCCGATATATGGTCTCTCGGGTGTGTGATATACTATGTTATGACGAGGAAGCTTCCATTAGTAGGATTTCGCTCGTATATGAAGTACATCAGAGGGCAGATACCGTTGCCCAGCGAGAAGTTGATCCAAAACGGCGTGAGCCAGAGCGGAATAGATTTCATCAGCATGCTCATGAGTCCAGATCGAGACAAAAGACCCAGTGCTAAAATGGCGTTACAACATGAGTGGCTTTATGCTGTTACCGCGGAGAAAAAGTGTATGTGCTGGGAGGTTTACTCCAGTTTCTTATTCATTTCACCCTACTTCGATAAATGTGCCCATCGCTGACTGTGCCATGTTCTTAGCAAACCCGGCAAGAGTGTCTTTGGCGGGGGAAGCGGGTGTAAAAAAGCCAATTGTTATTACCATTTACCCTGAGAGTCACGAATTGCCTTCTGGGTTACGTGAGTGCGCACCTCTCAGCCCACTAGTACACCAGCGTTCGGGCCACTGCGCAAGTACTCACCAATTACTGCGCATTACCCCCCCAAACACCCCTACCTCCCCGGGCCCCCCGGCCGGCCCAGACAATAGGCGCCGTCGTGCAAGAAATAGAGTGCGTCCTGCGCCAATAATGGATTCTCGACGCCGGTTGAAGTGGCTGACCTTGCCCGTTTTCCTTTCCGGCGTAACGGGGGTGAGACATGGTATTGAGCATTTGAGGGGGGAACGGCGTAATATTGAGAGACCAGTATTCCTCCGCAATTTCTTTTCATCTCCGCCCCCGCTACTCGCGTTTATCGTTCCACCCACCCTTGCCTTCAGTTTATTCTTCCGATCCATTCTATCCTTTACCATGTCAATACTACCTATCTTACACGCCATCAGAGAAAGTCCAAAATTTATATATAGAGACAGATTTGGCCGCGGGTAAAGCTCGATAGTGTATATAGAACATGGCTTCATAGAAGCCAGCGCGGCTTAGGAGGGTGTATATTTAAGAATTTGGCTGTGTGTATTTTATCCGGCTAGGCTCCTTTTATTGGCTGCAGATTCAGCGGTATAATACTCCTTTCCAATCATGTTGAGGTTGCTTAGTTATATGTGTTACCTGTTGAGATGTTTGCCTATGTGTCAAAGCTGCTCTCTTTGTATACACCAGATACGAGGAGGATTTAGTTTAAGAATTGACAGGGTTTAAGTCAGTCTCTACAGTCTACCCACATCCCTAGGATTCTAGCACCAAGTACTATTCCTAAGAGCTATTAGTCGTCATGGGTGGAGCGTATTATTGGCCGTATTCGAAACATAAATATCTTTCTCTGAATTCAGGTCTGTCTTTCCTATAGTGTTGTCCCAACCTCACGTATTCATAATTTCATTTATACTCTGAATACTCATGCGTTCATTAAATGGTCGGAATTCTTAGTATGGATTTAGTTGTAACGATACCCGACTATTTAATGGACGCCTAGTATATTATGCTTTTATTCTTTAGACCTTCTATAATTCCGTCTGGCCGTCTATAATCGATAATTGTGTTTGAATAGACTAGGCTTCGATTAATTAATATGTATTAGACGGCGGTTCTTGTACCTTTGATTATAATCTTTTTGTAAAGGATAGCTTTTAGCAGCATACAAGATATGCCTAGCGTGGTAGTGGCCTTGTATCTTCATATTCTGTCTCTGAATAGCTTATTGATATTGCAATCCCCGAGATTTCGTCAAATTATTGATGAAGTTTTGAGCGCGCGGCCTTGGGATTTGAAGAGATCATAATCTTGGTCGCAGGGTTCTGACCCCTGTATAAACTCCTATCCTCATACAAGATAGGCTTCTATGGGTAAATATTTTAAAGGTTTATCCGGCCAATTCTTCCTCATAACAGTGTTCAATGTCGTATATATGTCCGGTGTTAGTTATTGACCTATCAATCAATTGTGCTCTAAACTCCCTGAGAGAAACGCGAGCGCGTGGTTCACTGTTATCAATTTATGTTGCCGATCAAAATCAAGGCGAAGGCCCAAGCCCCATGGCCAGCCGGCGTGTACCCCAGGCCTATCAAAACCACTAAATAATTTAGACTCAAGACAGACCGGATTAATTGATACCCCCTAAGTGATAATGGAAGCTAGGTGTATATAGACCTAGAGGGGTTATATTGGTTCCCAACATGCATGGCAGACAAAATTCCGCTATCTCTGCATTACTGCAGGGCTGAATGCATGCATGTGCTAGCGCGCGCAATATCATAGGCTCGTACATCACTCCTATTGAATATTGGGCGGCTATACAAGATATCGGGATTCCGCCATATTCTGATATTTACTCACAAGTGGTCACTCGAGCGAGTGATGAAACATGATTCCCACGCGGGGTTGAGTTCTATGCTTTTCCCACAAATACCCCTTGGCAAATACAAGCAAGGTAGACCCTTGATGTGCTCAGTCCAAAATAGCGCAATAAACTCGAGTTGTCGACTGCTTTCATGAATGTTGTCCGCCCTGAATTGTGCTGGTATCATTTCCGATACAATGAATATCCACTAATCCCTTCATTGCAGACTGAGAAATACTATTAGACTTAGATTAAACTCATACCAGTCAATTGCAGCCTTCATGACAGAGAATTCTGTTAGTCCAACGGAAATATTAGCAGAGGAACCCTTGCTTATATGACTGCACTGATCTAGTTCATGACATACATAATTAATATATTGAGTCACGCGAGGTTAGTTTACCCAAAGACTGAGTAGAGTTCTTCCGATTCATAACTAAAAGCAACGTAGGTTCATATCCGCAGGAAACGTTCTCTAATACTAGGTGGGGAGAAATAGGCCGCTAGGTTAGTTTTATATTACACAACCCTTGCAATTGGGGGGCGTGCGGGGAGCTCTAGAAGCGCGGCAGGATGGTCTTCAGAGACCCGGCAGGGCAAAGGTAGTGCCACTCATCCTACACCAATATAAGGGCCTACCCCTTGATTAGGCTGTCGCAAAAAAGCTCTCCAGAGGGCACTATAACGTGTACCTGGAATACTGGGTAAAGTCGTCGGGAGAGTCTGAATTTTGGCTTGAAAATGTGAATATTTCGGTGGGGAGGAGGTCGTTTTAAGGAAAATCGACGATTTTCCCGACAAACCTTTAAGGATTAACAAGTAACTTTACCAAAGACTTTATTGCTAGGCTCTCCCTCATCCCCGGTCGCGAGAGGATCCGTACGCCTGGTGTATAATATTACACTGTATTATATTAATATTAGATTTACAAGTAGTTTCCGGCCTTCGGCCGGTACTATATGTATATCAATCAGTCCAATATACAGATTAATGAATTAAACAAAAAAAAAAAAAAGTCCAATATACAGGCAAGCCGCTTTGCGGCTTATTTGTCTATTTGCCTGTCAGTCGGGGCTCTCAGGCCGCTGCGCGGCCCCCGACCCCTCCTGGCAGGCAAAGTCCATCACTATATCTAGATCTGATCTGGTCAATATGTGACTTTTCTGATATATTATCCCCATATATCAACGGACAAGTCAAACAATTTCTCCAGTTAAAACTACAGGTATATCCCTTTAACAGCTACCAAACCGCTAAAATCGAACCACTATCGATTCCCAGAACCAGTAGAAACCCTATTAACACTCTAACACCACTCAGCACAATACCCTATGTTAATATCCAACACAACATGTTTCAAGTGAAACAAAAACATCTCTCAATGAACCAATCAGAAGACTATAAAAGCACATTGCATATGCAGGTTATAATTATATACTTATTAGATGTGAGCGTGATTTTGTGCAGAGACTAGCAAAAATTGCCCGAGTCGACAAATCCCCAAAGTCGGTTCGCGGGAGTTACACCAAGGAGGTAGGGCCCATCAACTCTCGGCTTTCTACTAATGTAAACACATCTTTCGTATGGATTGCAATTGTGGAGCTACACTTGCTTGAACACAAATTTCCATACGAAATCTAAAATCATGGTTATTTTTTCACCCAATAATACGTGAGACGTGTTTAGCGTAGTTATTAGAAGAAGGCCAATCAGCTTACACCTTACACTTCCCCGTTATTGACGGACTTCTTGCAATGGGTATCATCATGATGGTCTTCGATCTTAGAGCTAGGATCTAGTCCACCACTAGTGGCAGACAGATTAGGACATACTTTCACTCGAGGTAAATGCACATAACCCTACATTTAGAAAACGGGCACGCCGCGCTCAATTCGTTACAGCATAATAGAAATTATTATATACAAACACCCGAGAATTTTACACAACCTCCTAGCAATCCTCCTCCTCCGGTTTCCTGCCATAAAACACCCATCTCTTTACATACGAATGCACTTTTCTATTCTTCACCTCCCTCTCCGCAGCCTTCACTACCGCCTCCGCCTCCTCCGCCGGCATACCCAACACCCTCGTGAATAGCGCCATCCCATACGCCTCGAATCCCGACTCCGCATTCAACTGATAAAATCCGCCCAGCTCCTTCTGTTTCTTATCCTTCGCCCACGTACCCATCGGCACCTTGTACAACTCTGTATGCACGCCCTCGAACCCCACCTCCGCCATCATCCTCCCCAGTCCCGGCACATCAACCGCCTTCCCAAACTTCGCCACGCCCTCTGAAAACAGCTCATTCCAGCGCTTCATCGGGTTATTTGGCGCGAGACTCCCGTCATCACTAAACATTGCAATCTCATACTCGTCGACCTCGCAGTACCCGCCGGGCGCGGTATGCTCGAACGACTGCTCCAGCAGCCGCCTCCAGTCCGTGATGCTGCCGTTCAGGGTGCGTAAATGTATAAAGTCGAACTTTGAACTCCAGGTCCACTTTGACTCCGCATCTTCAATCTGGAACTCTGCGTTTGGAGGCACCCACGACGGCTGGATGGGCGAGAGGTCGGTGCCGATGACGTTCGCGGACGGGTATTGCTCGGCCATGTCGATGACCCAAATGCCGGTACCGGTGCCGATGTCGAGGATGCGCTGCGGGTTAGAGAGCGGCGTGACGTGGAGCTCGCCGCTGAGTAGCAGGAGGTTAATGTGGTGGACTATGTCGAGGCGGTCTTGCTCGGTCTCGTCGTTCGGGAGGGGGTATTGGCCTTCGCAGTAGGCGTGGTAGCGGCGGCCATTCTCGTAGCGGTAGCTGTGTGGAGGGAATAGGGGCTTAGCTTGGTTTATGTTCGGAAATTTGGGCTTGGGGAGAGGGGGGGGTGATGACTGGACGGAGGGTAATGATCGTTCTGTAAGGAAACCAGAACAAGCGCGCTACGGATCAACAGCTATGAGTGGGGTAGACTCACGCATAGATGCTGGAACTGATAGAATCCGTTGAGCCCTTTGTGCTACTATTATAGCCCTCGTCCGATGATTCAGACTTGTCATAGCCGGGGTCGACCTCAATTGAGGAGTGCGGGTTGGTGGCAGTTATCTTCGACATGATTTTTTTTTTTTTTTTCGTTTTTGCACAGATGGGTGAATGGCGGTGGCAGAGTGAAATTTGGGGAGGTCTAGGGAGGGTGTGGACAGATTATGTAGAGGTGAGGAAAAAAACCGGGAACCGAAGTGTCGGTGTGCCACGAGACGGGATCTGTGCGTGACACCGTCCGCTAGGTTAAGTGCTGGGGTGTCTTGCATTACATACAGTAAGCTACCGCTAAATCTCGAGTTATTCGGGGGGTTGCCAAGCTCAGCTGCTAAACTACATTTAGTTTAGATCCTGCAGAAGAGGGCTGTTTTATTGAAGATCTCTGCCTCTAAAGGTGAAGATCCTCAGCTTTTTGCCTTGGCAACCCCCCGAATAACTCGAGATTTAGCGGTATTTTCCTAGAGCACCTAGAGTACTAGTCCGAGCAGATATGCACTCTATAGTACATCTGCAGATACTAATCTCCTAGAGAGTAGAACATACATGTATGTACAGTAGGTACATATCGGTCTCAAGGAAATAATAGAACATAACCTAAGCTGAGCACACACCTGAACCAAAACCTAAATTGCACTTCTGGGGTAACTCCCGTCACCTCCTTTCACTTCACTTCGATGTGTATCCCTGTTTCCGGCATACCCGAGCGCAATTTGTCTTGCATACATAGATTCTCTGCACATGAGCTTTGCACTAGAATAGCTGGTACCTATGTACTCTACTACCAACTGCAAATATCTATTCTCCCAACTAACTTAATTCCTAGAATTTTACATATCGTTCACGAAACCACATACCTACTCTAGCTATGGCTCTTGGTGTGTAGTTCAGACTCTCACCCTTGCTAACCCTATGCGGGAGGTTCGGGCCGCATATTTCCACAAACAGTAACCCATGTTCGCTGGTTAATAACTAACCGCACTCGTCATGGCATCTCTACACCTGCATGAATATTTTAAACACGCCGTCCCACCAGCAGGAGCAGAATAAGCTTCATCACAAAACTCTCATACAGCTTGCGGTAAGATTATTGAAGGAGTTCTATTGACTTGCCCATCCATAGAAACCCCGTTTTAGGCCCCTGTTCTGCCTCTCGCTGTAAGTCGAGATTTATACCGACGAGTCCAGCTGCTACGTGCCTACATGTACAGTGGCGGACAGATAACCGTACTCTTAACAATGATCTCTGCTAAGCTAATGTAGCGTGCGAAAAAAAAGTTAACGTGGGCGCAAACCACTGGCTACTCGCACGCGTTTAGTCGGTCGGATCTAAAACCACCCCGATATCACCAAAGCCAAAAAAAGTCGGTTTGCTATAACGAACGGGTTTCGGTGATCCGAATCTAAATTTCGCATAGAACTTGCCTGCTATACCGAATAATCTGCTGTATCGAACAGAAAATTTTGGATATGCATGTTCCTTATATCGTACTGAATCTGCGGTGGAGCGGATATTATATCACATCTGCACTTCAACCCCGAGAGGTCTCGGCTATGAGGTTGCTGGGGTAACATACACCCGTGTCTAGATAGTTCCCGGAGTCCCCCACCATGGCAACGGGACTCTCGCGACTGAATTTACCACAATCAGAGTAAACTTTTATACAAGATTGAGTAGGATAACTAGAGAGAGTGTGTAGATTAAGGATATGCCAAAATTCTTTGTGAAGAAACACTACTTTGACCCCGTTGCTATTTGGGGGGGCTCCGGGAATTACTTAGACACGGGTGTACGACTATCTAGCCGAGATGATACCTACTTGGAGGCGTTGATGTAGAATAGGGTACTCTAGAGAGTTGAGCCCAGAACCATTAGGCCTCACAGCCCAGAATACCCCCTGCAGCCATGAGCACCAACCCCCCCCCCCCCCATCTGGCAGGCCACCCCCTCCCAGAATACCTCCAAGCAAAGGCAGCCTTCGCCGCCCCCCTGCTCCACCTAGTGGACAAGCATAAACTCCTCAGCAAAATGGGCCTAGAGGACAAGTCCCCTGCCACTGACGACCTCCTACAACACATCGCCTCCACCTTCCACACCCAAGACCCCGGTTTGAACCCGGCCAAAGCCATCATCTCCCTCCTCCTTGGCCTCTCAACCCAAATCGAGAAACTCACTACAGAGGTCCACACCCTATCCGCGAGACACACCGCCGACGTTACCCTCCTCAACTCACGCATCAACAACTGCACCCCTCAGCACTCCCCAGCCCCCGCCCCCCAGACCCGTCCTCCCCCTCAACGGCAACCCACCCACCAACCCCGCCAGCTCTCACGCCCCGCCCCTGCCATTCCTCCCCCCCAGGGTTCTGTAACCGAAGAAGCAGAGCCCTACCTCAACGACCCCATCGAAACCATCGACCAAAACGGCAATAGACGCCTCCTTACCTATGCCGAGAAACTCAAACAACACCAGAACAACTCCCGTCCCGCCGCCCCCTCCCCCGCCACTCGGAATGCAGGCCCCCGCAAGCCCACAGCTCCTCAACCAGCAACAAACCTCCCCACCGCCCAACGCCGGTTCTTCGCAACCAGATCTAACCCCGCCCCCTTCCCGAACCACCAACAACTCGAAGCGAGACTCCCCTCCGACCTCGGAAGAGTCCTAGCCAACGCAGGCCTCACCCACCCACACACCGCTCTACAAGTCCAGGTCAACCGTAACGGCACAATTACCTGCACCGCCTCCCCCTCCACCCCCGCCAAAGACATCGCTCCCTACTTCCCCGGTCTCCTAGCAGTCCTGAACCTCGCCTGCAGCGCTACCGATAACCCGCTCAACGATTTCCAACTCGCACCAACCAACGTCGACTATGCCATCCACAACGTTCACATCTTCGCCCTTGACGTCCCAGAATCCCTCTTCACTCCCCACCTCGCCGAAGCCGTTGCCCTCACCACTGGAGCATCTGTCTCCAGAGCCCGATACCTCCCCAGGCCCGAAAATAGAGTCGGGAAGACCACCACCTCAATCGTCATCTCCGTACCTGCCAACGACACTGACAAGATCGGAGACCAAATCCGCCTATTCGGACGCTCCCGCCGATGCAATAAACTTTGGCCAGCATCCCCCAACACCCTCTGCCGCAAGTGTGCCCGCCTAGGACACGCCACAGAAGGATGCTAATCATCCTCACCAACATGCCCACTCTGCGCAGGCAACCACCTCCGCAAAGACCACCGCTGCCCCAACCAAACCTGCCCCAACAACGGCCACCTCAAACCAGTCATTGATTGCTGCGCCACCTGGAAAGCCAAATGCATTAACTGCTCTGGCAACCACATCACCTCCCACAGAGAGTGCCCCGCCAGGCGTACCCGCACATCGCCCGCCCCCCAGGGCTCCGCTCCCACCCCCCAAACCTCCCCAGACAGCCCCCCACCAGCCACCCACCCCCAACCCGCCACCCCCCAGTCCACATCAGTACCCGCACCTCAACAAGAAGAGCCTGCGGAAGAGGACTTAACCATGTCGCAGTAATGCCAGCACGATCCTCCTCCCTCCCCTCCTCCCCCCCCCCCTCAATCACCCATCGTTCAGACATATCCAGCGGAGATCCCTCCAGCAATCTCTTTACAATAATCCAACTGAATTGCGCAAGAAGCAACGCAGTCTTTCTTTCACTCTTTTCTTCCTTCTCTAAACAACGCCCCGCCCAAATTGTCGCAATACAAGAACCCTTCACCCTCCTCAACCACCCCCTTAACGCACCAGGATACGAATGCGTTTGCCCCCCATCAGCAGAAGACGAATCCGTATCAGTCGCCTTCTACTTACACCTCGACTTCCTACAGCACACCTCCTACTTTCCCATCAACTTCGATAGAGGCGACGTCTTCGGCATAGCCATATACTGGAGAAACCCCGATACCCCCCTCCTCCCTGCACAACTAGAAATAGTGAACGCCTATAACCGACACATCTCACCCAGCAGAAGATCAATCCTCCCGGAGACGATATTCCGCAACACCAGAAACCCCTCCATCATCTGCGGTGACCTTAATATACACAACATCCGCACCGACCCTCACCGCACGATAAACAGAAGAGAGGAGTCACCCTCCTCCCCCTACTTCTCCACAGCCGCAGCTAACGGCTACTCCCTACTCAACATCCCCGGCAGGATCACCCGAATCTCTCCCAACTCTCTCCAAAGACACGGGGTCATTGACCTAGCCTTCGCAAACCCCCCTGCCCTCAACCTCTTCCACTCATGGTCCAACAGACTTCCCAACGCTGGCTCCGACCACACACCAATCAAACTACAGTTCACTCTCTCCCCCAGCATGACCTCCCTCCCCACACACGCCCCCGACTGGAAAAAGACCCCCTGGCCCGCAATCCAGGAATCACTCCGGAAAATCTCCCTTCCCCCGATCTCATATCCTATCGACCATTGGTGTAGAAGCGCCTTAGCCGCCATCACCGAACCAGTTCTCGCTGCCACCCCGTCCAAAAGGCCGTCTTCATGGTCGAAGGCATGGTGGTCCCCATACCTCTCAACACTCAGACGGATCTTCAACTCCGTCACCAGAGCATACAGGAAAGGACTATCACCCCCTTTCGAATATAAAGCCGCCCGCAACGCATACTTCTCCGCCATCCAGGAAGCCAAAAAAGATACTGGAACGACTTTATAGCCCAAGCCGACTCACAACAGGTATGGGCCCTCAGGAAAACCGCGACCCGGAACAAGGAGACTAAGCTCCCCAAATTCCCAAATGCCTCCTCCCCAGCCGAGGTTAACCAAGCTCTCATATCACACTTCTTCCCCCCCCAACCAAACCCCACCCCAGCTCCCCAACCGGGCTTCTTCCCTGATACCCCAGAAGTAACAGCAGACGAAGTAGCCAAAGCACTAGCCGCTTCCTCAAACAACTCAGCACCAGGCCTGGATACTTTTCCTCCCGTAGCCTGGAAACGAATCCACCAAGGGAACCCATCCCTCATCCCCCAACTTCTCACCCCCCTCCTCAGAAGCGGATACCACCCGATAGCGCTTAAGAGCGCCCTCGGTGTCATTCTCCCTAAGCCCAACAAGCCAGACTACAACTCCCCTGCCGCCTACCGGATCATAGTCCTCCTTAAGACGGTTTCAAAAATCCTCGAACGGATAGTGACGTATCGCCTCCACGCTTTCGCCTCCTCATCACGCCTAATACACCCTCATCAATGCGGCTCAATCAAAGGACTGTCCACAGATGACGCCGCAACAACTCTCCTTCACGAAGTCAGGCTCCTCCAACGCGGAGGACTGAAGGTCTCCTCCCTCTTCCTGGATGTCAAAGGGGGCTTTGATCACGTCATCCCCTCAGTCCTAGCAGACACCCTCCGCAGCAAAAACACCCCCCCATATATGGTCCAATGGGTCCTCTCATTTCTATCGGACCGCAAATGCACCCTCCTATTCCCAGGCGGCCCACGCGCCTCCCTTCCAGTAGCCGTCGGAGTGCCGCAAGGCTCCCCCATCTCTCCTCTCCTATTCTGCATATATGTAGCACCACTTCACACGGACCCAACTCCCGGCATCACCATCTCATACGTCGACGACTTCGCTTTCACAGTCGCCTCCTCATCCCACCAGCAGAACATCGCACTGCTAGAAAATGCCTTCCACAAGGCAACAGACGCAGGCACCCCACGCAACATCCACTTCTCCCTCCCCAAAACAGACCTCATCCACTGGCGCACCAGCGCTGATAGGAGTGCACCCTCTACGCTCCCCATTACACTCAACCGGACCCCCCTCAACCCCAAAAGAGAAATCCGCTGGCTGGGCCTTCAGCTCACCGACAACCTCAACACCTTCAACCACTTCTCTAAAAGGTGTGCCTCAGCACAAACCTCCTTCGCCATCATAAGAGGATTCGCCTCAGCAGGCAAAAGCCTCACCCCCCTCAATTGCCGACGACTAGCAGTCATGGCAATCCTCCCCATGCTCACATACGGAGCCTCCGTCCTCGTCCCAACAGCACGAGCACTCAAGAGACTCGAGACCACCTGGCACTCAGTCCTCAGATGGGTCACCAACTGCTTCAGATCAACCCCCCTCTCAATTTTACAAGCCGAAACATCCTTCCCACCACTCGCTGTTACGAACCACTACCGCAACACGGAGGAAGCATGAGTCATCGGAAAGTGCCGGAAGTTTCTGCGAAGGATTAGTAATCGGGTTGTTTCTTGTTTCTTATATATAGGGGTGCTTGCCCCCTCACTGTCTACTTCTTTCCTTACGCAACATCTTGTATTTTACTTTGAGTTATTACTTTGGGGGATTTACTTCGCTTCAATACACTTCTTTACTCTCCGTCCACGTTACGTCTACCGCCCATCATGCTCTTCGCATCCGCCGTTATGTTCCTCGTCGTCGCCCTCGTGGCCCTCTGCTCGCTTACCCCGCTGTTCCCCTCGGCCCCCTCGCCGACCGCTGTCTCCGCCATCCTAGTACGGACCATTGTCCCTGCCCTCGGGCACACCGCTGACTCCACCCTCGCCATCGTGCGAGCCCACTTCCTCCTTCCCAGGAGCCCCCTAGTGTCCTTCGACCCCATTGCCAAGCCTTCGCACACGGTTCCTTACACTCGCCCTATACATCCCCTCCCTACGCATCAGATACGCCGCGAGAATCCAAGCCGCATCCCCCGCATACAACCCAGTCACCGCACGCACCCCACACTCCTTCCACACACTCTCCACCTACAGAGAGACATCTCACCGACACCTACTAAGAGGCCGCCCAAACCCCCCCGTCAATTGGAATTCGACCAGGAAAGGGGTAGCCCGCCTCCCCATAGACGACCTCTGCCACGCACTGCTCACCAACTCACCAACTTTCGCCCAGAACCCCAACACCATCCACCCAGGCCTGGCACTCTCTATCAAAAGAGACACCATGCAAATCTGGAAGAATAACCCCCTACCAGACTACTACAAATTCCCAATCAGCACTCGTCCACACCCCCACCTCAAGCTCGACCGCTTTATCGCAGGACGCATATGCCAAATGCGGGCTCATAAAAGCTACCTAGCGGCCCACCCAACATGGATGTCCCAGGACCTCCCCCCTACATGCCCCAGATGTTTACTCGAAGACGAAGACCTCGAACACGCCATACTACGCTGCCCCACGCGCAGTCCCCAGAGGGCAACCCACATACCCTTTGCTAAAACCCTCGACGACCTTTGGTCTCCCCCCGCCTCACTCGCAGCTCTCTCCTCCTACATAAGGGCAACCAAAACCGGGTTCCCCCCACAAATGTGCCCTCCAAAATCTCCACCTTATGACCTATCCTCAGACTCCGAGCTCACCTCCCTTTCATCAAGCTCGGCCTAGGCCACCCCCACCCACAACAGGCCCAAAAGCCAATTGTACGCACAACAACCTCAACACCGAATAGTGTCCTCTCGTCGTTCTCCTTATTCTCTCTTCTCCTATGTCCTGTCATAACACGCGTAGCTGGTACGAAAGTATACTGCCCCTGAGGGGGACGTCCGAATTTCTTTGTTTGCTGGCCGGTAGGAGGAATGTCAGGGTCTCTCCATTGCGTCTGCTTCATGTACACACGTTCATATTTGTTTTGCTCCGCTTTTCCCTTTGTCTTGTTTTCTTCGGCGGTTTGGTAGGGGAGGGGTGTTGTTCACGCCATAGCTTAGGCTCCATGCGATATTCTTGTACCCAGAAATAAATGAAACTATGATTTAAAAAAAAAAAAAAGAGAGTTGAGCCCAGGGATATCG